TTCGCCAATAGTTCATTTAGTCATCACTCGCTCTCTTTCAATCTGTAGCGGCCTTTCCTTGCCCTCTACCGCTCCCAATGCCTACAGCGTCCACAACTCTGGCACGCCGTACAGCGGAATAAGACGAATTCTACTATCCACTGGACCTTAATATTATTTCAGCAGACAGTAACAGCTGACTGGAGACGGACTTTCCTTGCCGTACTCCAAAAGCACACAGCTCTCGTCAGCCTGTCGAAGGCCTCCGATGACCGACAGGACTTCTAACACAAGTCCCCTCTAGCACACAGCTCTCGTCGGCATCTCCCACTGTCCTGTTTCCTTAGTGACTCTACGTCTCCTTGCGTCGTCACCCAGAACAGTTACTTTTGGAGCATCCCGTCCCCTTGGACTTGCTTCGCCAGCGGGACTATACCTTCGACCAGTACCGCAACCTTAGCCCTTACTCAGGCCTTGATGCTGATAGTTGTACGGTAGTCTGTCTGTTATACTCGAGAAAGATAATCACTAACCCTAACTTGTTCCCCCCCACCCTCTCTCTCTCTGTCTCAGTCTTGCTCTGACTCTCGGACTCAGACTCCAGCACTCTCGTGCTGGGTGTGTATAACACCCGCACTTCTTCAGTGCTTTAGCCCTGTGGCTACAGCTCACTGACTCGGACTGTCTACGCAGCCCCAATTTATATCTGTCAAACCCATCTGGATTACACGAGAGGCACGCTCGTGTGAGCGTTCTCGGGAAACAAGCTCATGTGGGTGTTCTCGAGACTCACGCTCAAGGGAGCGTTCTCGAGGATCACACTTATGTGAGTTGATGATGTGACATGAGAATCACGCTATCACCTAATACACCCTTCTCTCTGCGATTCTCATTCTCCATGCTTGTCAGCCCCCACGTAGTAACCCACGCGTCTACTTTCTCGTGCGTGCACGCCTAGGTTCGTGATAAGACATTTTCATTGGTTAACATTCTCTTCTCTCAATACTCGGCCTATGTTGACACTATTCCCCCGTGAACTCACAGAAAGTACTCACATACCACTCCGTCCCTTCACACAATATCACACTCTCCCAAATCAGCACGCAACACCATTGTTATCGTGCAAATTTATACACAAATTTAGCTACAGTATAATTTACTTGCAACATATTTTTTGAATGATTTATCTTTATGTAGATAAACAGGAGAGCCATTAGAAAAAAGAAAAAAAAATAATAATAAAATATTCAAAAAATATGTTGTAAGTTAATTAAACCGTAGTTTAATTTGTGTATAAATTTACTCGATAACAATAGTGGGCACAGAAAGGTTGTGGACTGGCCTAACAAAACTTGAATTTCCGTAGATCTGTTCGGCCTTACTGCTAGAGCTGCCTGTGCCTAGACAAACGACAAACTGCAGAGTAGTAATTTTGAAGTGGGCGTGTTCAGTTTCAGGAAAGTAGCTAGCTATTCTGGTTTCTGAAGTATTAAGGTATGTGATTTCTGTATCTGTACTGCTGTAATAAGAACATGACAAGGAGCCACAATTATAACTAATGTTATCAAGCAACAGATTTCTAAACTTTACCAATTTAAATTGATGATGATTTACTGCTGGATGCCGATGTGGTACAGCGGCTAGTTGCTCGCCTGCTGATTTACAGGTCGTAGGTTCAAATCCAAATGACTTGTTTCTTTTAAAAAGTGTCCTTGGCTTCCAGGTCGACCCAGCCTTAAATGGATACTAGGTAAAATCTACGAAAAACCAAACGATATGGACTATATATGGAGATTTAAACCTATATCCACCCTTCCTCAGGGCAGCTACACTTGCCACTGTGTAACCGACAACTACGAATACAATACATACAGAGCTGCCAGGCCTTGCACTGCGACAACTGTTGCTGCCGTTGGTCTCATGCGAGCTAACAGCCAAGGACAGTTGTTGTAGATGTTGCTAGATTTGTGCACCTCAATCCCATAAGGATCAGCACCGACAGAGATCAGTCCCACACCGACAAGGTCTGGAAAGAAGGTTATTTAAGATGATGATACTGGATGTATGTAAGACGATGATATTGGATGTATTTAGGATGATGTGCTAAAGATAATGATACTGGATCATCAAATGATGATGATCATCATCATCATCATAATCATCATCATTATCAAATGCCTTGCCGACTGGCACAAGCATTCATGCCCCTCCCCAATCTGTTATCATCATCAGCATGTATGCGTTACACCTCTTCATGGCAGGACAAAAGACTGTCAATACCGATGGTTAACATGAATGATTTGTATTCGAAACACATTAAAAAAAAACATATTTTTAACACACTCTCATCTAACTGATCTTCTTGTCGTTTGTTGGGATAATTACTGTTGTTTCGTTCCTTTATGTAGACTTTAGTCGAAACGTTTGTTACATCGGCATTCATCTATTCCTTTCCCCTCTCTGAGCGTTCTAGTCAAAGCTTGTGTTGTGTTTATTTGCGTCACCTGGCTGTGAGTTCCAGCTGAAAGCCTTGGTTGTTCGTCATTTATGGGCTGTTTATGTGTTCCATGTTCTGTGTTGTGGTTGTAAATCCGTTTTTTAATGTCTAGCTTAAAGGTTACAGTCTGTACTTTTAGTACTACACCCAGTGTTTTGAGTTTAAACCTGTGGGGACTGCTACTGACGATGACGAAACCATCGATATTGCTGGGTTAGAGTCTGGAGTAGATGGGATCAAGAAACAGTTTACTCAGAAGCTCCTTCTCAGTACTAGGTGACATACATCAGCTTTAAAAGGGTCAACTGAAAATGCTAACAGCACACAGTTTATTCAAGGATTTAGCAGGTTTTCAGCTTTTTTGATTGATTTCCTATCTAGCTTATTTATGTACACAGTTCTGTCTTCCTGCCACTGAAGCTGATAAACTTCGACTTCCATGGATGTCGTGTTAGTATATAAAGGACCATTTCCACGCCATTTGCAGTGCTTTTTCCTGACAGTACGCGGTACCGCCACCTTTTGACTTATTGTTTTGTTTGTTTTGAGCTCTATTGCAGTAAACAATTTATGGTGAATTCCAAAACATTTATAAGATTCTTTGGAAAAAAAAAAAAAAAAAAAAAAAAAAAAAAAAAACTGACCGGCTCCGTCAGGACCTGAACGCACAACCTTCGGATCCGCAAGCCCTCGTCTAGCCCAGCAGGTCTCAATCTTCCTAACGCAGCGACCCTTTAATACAGTTCCTCATGTTGTGGCGACCCCCAACCATTAAATTATTTTCGTCGCTACTTCATAACTTCAATAAATATCTGCTTTGCGATGGTCTTCTTTAGCGACCCCTGTAAAAGAGCCATTCGAACCAAAAAAGGGTCACGACCAATAGGTTGAGAACCACTGGTCTAGCTGATACACCAGGAAGATTCCCCTGTGATAGTGAAGAGCTTTGCCTTATATTAGATGTTTTCAGTTGAATTAAAAACTATGTTCGTCTCTTACCCTGTATCTGGCCAACAGGACTGCTCAGGTTGTTCAGACGATATACACCTTTGTTGCTCTCTATTGCACTTTGGATTTCAGTCAACAAACTGTTAAACTGCCGATCTTCGACCACTGCACTTTGCTTTAACAAGAGGAAAGCGTGGAAGGATGTTCTGTTGAGGGCATACATTGGTCCATTGAAGGGATAGATTTCCTAGACGAGAAAATAGATAACTGGTGGGAATTAGTTATTTTAACAACAACAACAAAAAAGCAGTCATCATCATTATCATCTTCATCATCATAATCATCCTCATCATAATCATCAACATCATTTTCATCATCATCACAATCATTATCATCAAAATCATTATCATTATTATCACCATCATCATTATCGTCATCTAGTGCCTTGCCGACTGGCACAGGCGCACATGCCTCCCCCCAAACTGTTAGACCTTTGCCATCTGACTCGAAGCTCTTGTTTTCAAATTCCCATGCAGCTGTGCAGACTTTTATAATAGACTTGAGATTTTGTATACATGAGTATACATCAGTACAAAATACACAGGGAAGTAAAAGTGTGCGGCCCGATGCTCACAGCATTAAAAGTAAAAAGTAAAGTAAAGTTCCCTTTTCACGCCTTTCGGCGCATCGGGCATATGGGCAGAGCGTCCCATATTTTTACAGACCATCAGCACTCTGTAGATAATGTGGTCAGCATTACGCCGGCTGTCTTTACTTTCCCAGGACAGCCCATCCTGGTACCCATTTTAGGCTTGGTCGACCTGCGACGTCCCCATACCACGACAAAAATCCACGCAGCCTGCAGTGGGTTTCGATCGCAGTATGCTGGCTTACGAGTCGGACTCGCAACGCCTTAGCCACGGACGCCGCGCTCACAGCATTACCCACCTAAAATCAACTGGTCTATGCAAATATGCGTTCAAGCTGATGTCCCTATGGCTGGGAATGAGATCTTTACTTTGTAAATTTTCGTTACATTCATACTGATATCTTTCTTGTTTTTTTTCGCCTTCATGGGCTGAACAATTATGGTTGTTCAAATAATTCTGGACTTAAGTTTTATTCCAGATGTTAAGGGGGCTGCATGGTCTCGAGGTATAATGCAGACCGTTGGTTCCTTGCCTCTCGCGTAGATTCTCTCTGACTTGGAAGAAAGCTCCTACTTAGTCACCTCTTACAATATGCTTGTTAGGGAGGCAGCGGATCTATTGTCTCTCCCTCCTGCCTTTCCTACACAGGCCCTGGAACTCACACGGGGACATTGATTTACAAGGGTGTTTATAGCCAAGAGGATTGTCAGCACATCCTTAGCCGCACAGGTTACTGGTCTGCACCGTAGTGTCACAGGTTAAACATTCTTGACATCATTAACGAGGTTATTAACAGGTTACAAGATAAAGGCATGGCTGCTGTAATTTGTAATCACACTTTAACAATTTTTATTTGAAGCACCCTTGCGCGTTCACGTCTCAGACTTAGCAACTTTGTCTTAAAAAGGGACATAACACAGACATACATAACCAAGAGCTGAATCGCCTCCCTTGATGTTGACCCACAAACCCGCCAGTTGCAATAGATCCACATTGTAGGCCACTAGGGTGTACAAGACCCCGGGGATTGCATCCCAAGTGATGGCCGGCCGCTTCTGGAGGCTCCAACTGTCCAACACTGTACGCTGAGAGAAGTCTAAGTCTTGATCCATGGAGACGGAGGGAACATTGAAAATACGGCCACATGCTCGGTAGGAACCTGTTGTGAAACATGTAGAGATCTAGATACTACTTCCAGTAAACTTGATACAAGATCAGAAATACTCGGTAGGAATCTATAGCGAATAATTCCTTACGTCCTTTTCAGGACGAAATTTATTGTTATTTGAATCCCCACCCCGGCTTTTACCAGAGGCCGCAATATAGGCAGGCCATAAATATGGCCGATTGTCTGAACGCGGTTTCTGGGACCTCTCCACGGTGATCCTCATCCACATGGTGGCACTTTGTGACATAAGGTGTTTATCGCTTGTGTGAGTGGGGTAGAAAGTTAGTCATCTGTAGCGAATCCGGATAAAATTTGTCGTTATCTGAAGCGGTACTCCTGCTTTTTCCAGGGCCGCAATATAGCCTGGCCATAAATATGGCCAAAGGCTGAACGCGGTTTCTGGGACCTCTCCACGGTGATCCTCACCCACATGATGGCATATTGTGTCATCGGGTGTTTATCGCTTGTGTGATGTCCTGGTGGGGTAGAAAGTCAGTCGACATTAAAGGTAATACAGTCCTTGCCATCCATTTGTGGGATGTACTTTTTCGTTATTTGCAGCCCTACTCTTGTTCTTGCCAGGAGCCGCAATATAGCCAAGCCATAAATATGGTCTAATGGCTGAACGCGGTTTCTGGGATCTCTCAACTGTGATCCTCATCCACATGGTGGCACTTTGTGTCATCAAGTGTCTATCGCTTGTTTGATGTCCAGGTGGGGTAGAAGAGGATAGATATTTAAAGATCTGTAGCGAAACATGCAGAGATCTAGATACTACACCCAGTTCAGTTAAAAAGATCATAATTAATTAAATAAGGCAAAGACAGAAAAACAGACGAGGTAACAATGCCAGATTTAATTAGTGAGTTACTGGTGAAATTGTTTGGCTGTTTAACTCGGCTGTAAGCAGACAGTATATGACCATGAACAGTGGAGATGGGCAGATGAAGGGCTATGTAAACGAACGAGAAATTAAAAAAGATGAAGGGATTCGTGGAAAAAAATATCAGGAGAAAAGGAAAAGGAGAAGTTTTAAGAGAACGGGTGAGGAAGGGGAACTACGAAGAAATAGTATTAGTTGTTGTAGAGGTTGTTGCTGTCGTAGTGTTATAAAGAACCCAAAAAAAACATAAAGAAAGAAAAAAAGAAAGGAGAAAGAAAGAAAAAAAGAAAGAAAGAAAGAAAGAAAGAAAGTAAGAAAGAAAGTAAGAAAGAAAGAAAGAAAGAAAGAAAGAAAGAAAGAAAGAAAGAAAGAAAGAAAGAAAGAAAGAAAGAAAGAAAAAAAGAAAGAAAGAAAGAAAGAAAGAAAGAAGAGAGAAAGAAAGAAAGAAAGAAAGAAAGAAAGAAAGAAAGAAAGAAAGAAAAAAAGAAAGAAAGACAAAAAAAAAGGAAGCGGAAGGAAAGAAAGAGAAGTGGAAGGAGAAGAAGATGATGAAGATTACGATGATGCTGATTAAAGAAGCTGCCGTAGAAGAAGAAAAAGAATAAACATAATAATAATAATAATAATAATAATAATAATAATAATACAAAGAAGAAGAAGAAGAAGAAGAAGAAGAAGAAGAAGAAGAAGAAGAAGAAGAAGAAGAAGAAGAAGAAGAAGAAGAAGAAGTAGAAACCAGTGATTTCAAAACTGCAGTAACTGATCCATGTTATAACTCGTCACCACAAGACCTCACAAGATATTACCTGCTGGCACGTAGAAACGCACACGAAGCAGCTGTGTAATATTGTTGACGTCAAAGCTGTCCCCTTGGAAAATTCTGGAGATGATCGACTTGTGTTGCATGTCCACGTTCATGCAAGGGAAGGTTTTGTCACTGGGGTCGCCTGGACATATGGTGCTGTCGACAGTGCAGGAATCATGTTTAATCTTTATGTCGGAAGGTGGGGGGGGGGGGGGGGGGGGGGGTGTTCAGGTTCTTCTTCTTCTTCGCGTTCACCAGTTGTACACTCTTGTGGAAAGTTTTGGTTGTTCGTCCACTTCTGAACTGCAGTCCTGCTTCAGAATCTAAATGTTGCATGTGCATCAGTTTTACAGATCTGATTTACTTGAATGCAGACTCCTGGTTCTTTGCCTCTCAGACAGATGCACTCCGACTTCAAAGTAAGCTCCCTAATTAGTCGACTCTTACGACATGCTTTTGGGAAAGTAGTGAGTCTATTCCTGTTTTCTCCATAATGGGGCCCCGGAACCCAAACGAGGGACCAATTGTTCTAGTTATATTTTTGGGAGTGAGAACATAACAGATAACTAGCTTCAATAATATTATAAATAAACATGACACAAACAACACAGCTTGTCTAGGGCTCTCATCCACTCATGGCCTTTGCGACAGTTAGGTGTTAGGACAATGGGACAATAGGTATTAGACACCTGGGGACGGACAATATACAACGGAGACTGTACAAACAAGAGGCGGTGTCTGAGTAACAAAGAGACATCACAAAACTCTCTTGACAGAAAATGACCTCAGAAAACTGTCTCTTGAAAGAAAATAACTGCAAAAGTGATTAGTAAGAATTATCATCAAATCAGACATCAGAAGGAGACAGTCATCATTGTTCGTCCATGTTATCAGAAGAAGGAAAAAAGAACATGTTGTGACCACTAGAAAGATCTGTGGAAGGAGGGATAGAGGCAGACAACGACAGAAGATTCTTGACAGTCTTGTTGCATGGCATGGAGGTGTGTCAGCACACGAACTGATAAATGCCGCAGGAGATCGCGGATTGTGGAGAGGCATGATCGACCACGCCAGCCGACAAGGCACCTAATGATGATGATGATGATGATCATCATCATCATCATCAACATCATCATTAAAAAAACTTGAGCCAGATCCATAAATGCTCCCATCTCCCCCTCAGAAGCTCCACAAGCTTAAAACGAATGATGAGGCCTGTTCAGTGTTGATGAATCAAACGTCTTGTTCTCGTGGCGGGATGTTGATTTCTTGCAGCTCTAGGTTGCATCCCCACGTCCACCGCCCTGGATATGGAGTCATGTCTTTTGTCGAGATGCTAGCAAAACAGGATCTGAATACAGAGTGAGGCTGTCTGGGCAGGCCTCAAACTATAACGACGATGACGACGATGATGATGATGATGATGTTTGTGGTGATGATTGTGGTGGTGGTATTTGTGGTGGTGGTGGCAATGGTCATGATGATAATGATATTCTTTTTATGGTGACAATGATGATGATGAAATGGTGATGATGTTGATGATGATGATGACAGTGTTTGTGTTAATGATGATAATGATGATGATGACGATGTAGATTACACCACTGCATTACCTGTAAGAGTCACCGAACCACCAGTCTGTCCGGGTCAGGTAGTTCCGCAATACCTGGAGACATCTTGAGCTGTTGCTACTACAAGGGGGATCAGCACCTGGCGTACAGAAACACAAAAGCAACATCTTCACCCTGATCATTTCTCAAAGTTACATTTTAACTAGTTCATAAAATAACACTGTCAGTCAGATATTTAGGTAATTACATCTTTAAAGCAAACGTGTCACTCCATATTTGCTCAGTTTATGTGGCAGCAAAAACCACTGAAAATATCCATCAATGCCTCTTGTGACCAACAAACTAGCACAGGCTGCAGTCGGAGCAAAGCAAGCATTAAATGCACAAGGCAGCCGTCAGAAGTGCCAACATAAATAGTTGAGCACTAGAAATGCAGCTCATCGTCGATGAAAGCAGCAATTAACACGCAATTTATCTCATGGCACCTCCAGTTCTCTAGCAACAGGCTGCTAGCCATTCTCTGAATCTGCAGTTCGCAACACAAACCACTTTGAGGTTCACACAGTGTCGCGCTTAGCACTCAGCTCTGTAGCTGTAAGTCTGTCACAGTAGGGGATGAGGGAATGCCAATAGAAATCTCAACATGTTCAGTACGTGGCGACCCTAAAAGACTTGTCGCATCGAATCCAAACCCTTGAGACCTCCGTATCCTCCAAGTGTGGGTTCCGGGCCCCATTATGAAGAAGACAATATACCAACCTGCCAATATACAATAGACCAACTGACTTTCTTATTAAGCATGTCGTAAGAGTCGACCAATTAGGGGATTTCTTGTAAGTCAGAGTGCATCTGCCTAAGTGGCAAAGAACAAACAGTCAAATAAGTCAGATGTGTAAAACGAATGTGCACATAACACTCAGTTTCTTAAACAAGACCTAATCCAGAGGGGACGAAGAACCAGAATGTTTACAGCCAGTGAACGAGAAAAAAAAAATAAGAAAAAGAAGAAAAAATAAGAAGAAGACGAAGAAGAAGAAGAAGAAGAAGAAGTAGAAGAAGAAGAAGGAGAAGACAACGAAGAAGAAGACGGGATAGCTCACTTACCCTAGCGAGTGAAAAGGTTGCTCTAGAGACGCTGGCTTCCAACCCGAAGATTTTGGTAACGTATCGGCATAAAGTCGTTTTTTTTTAAAAACTATAAGCGTGGCTCCCATGGCAACCCAACATATCTGGGAAGTAAAGTCGGCCGGAGAGTTGTTGAACACATCACACACTGAGATCCGAGATATAATGCTAGCATCGTATGCCCGATGTGCCACTAGCAGGGAGAGTACGGATCGAACGAACAAACAAATGAACGAACAAAATTTTTTTTTCAAAGGGTTACAAATTGGGCACGCAGGCCCGTCTGACATTCGGCTCTTCTAAGCACTAATTTTGCAGAGTACCAATGCCTGTTATCTAAAATGCATGTTATGGATATAATAAAGAAATATACATTATAAAATAATGCATACACACATCATGTACACACAATCTTACACACACACACACACACACACACACTCACACACATGCACACACACACACACACACACACACACACACACCACATATATATATATATATATATATATATATATATATATATATATATATATATATATATATATATATATATACTCTCACATTCTCATACATGCACACTCAGATACAGACATACCTAATACATGGGATCGGAAGATCGTGGCTTCGGAACCTGACAGAACTGGATTGTTTTCAAATATTACTCTTCTGCCAGGTACACCCAACCTTGATTGGGGACAAGGGAGTGCAGGGAAGTAAAAGCGTCCGGTATTGCCCTGACTACATCACCCACCCAGAGCGAATTGGTCTGTAAAATAAAGATCTAACCCAGTATGGAGAATACGCTGAAGCCGTGGAATTGTTTGTTTGTTTTAGTATCCAGAAGCCATGAGTTGTTAACCCTTAGGCTCGGTATTGTGGATATCACAACCTTTCGGCCTTGATTCTATTGTAAATACAGTAAATCTGGGAGATATGTGGCTTTTCTGCCTACCCCCGGGAGTGAACCCGGACCACAAAGAGTTCGTCACCCGGTCAACATCGTAAATACCGTAAATCTGGGAGAAATGTGGCTTTTCTGCCTACCCCCGGGAGTGAACCCGGACCACAAAGAGTTCGTCACCCGGTCACCGCGCAATCCGGTTTAGCCAACTACGCTAGAGAGCCGGGCGAAAGCGTGGAAAAAGTGCCCCTTTTTTAACCTACTTAGTACGAAAAAGATTTCAATGTGTATATTAAAAAAAATTACTTACCATTTTTAAAAATGTTTATTTATAATTAAGATGATTTCGACAATGATTGCAATAATGAATTTGATGATCAAGACAATGACAATGATGATGACAACATTTACGACATGCTTCGCTTACCCTGGCCAGCTACTAAGGGCATCAACAAGCCAAACCAAATAGCAAAATAAACCATCCTGGTATGTTTACGGAAACCGATTGTTTCGCAGTAATATAAACTTCTAACTATCACAGACTTCACAAAATAACTACAAGATTGCAGAGAACTTCTACTTTTTCTCCACAAGTCGCCATTTTAATGTTCTTGTTTAAGAATGTGCTGTAGAGACAGGGTTTTCGATCTCCCGGCTCCATTAATTTACCTGTAAATTTAGACATGTATCCGGGTCATCTCCGTAAAAGGATAAATGGGCGGAGCTCTTTGCTGTGCCCATAAATTGTGTTTGGTAAAGCTTGCAGTCCATCTGTCTAACGACAAAGTCTAGCTAGTGTGCCGGTATCCAAACAAATCCAGCGACCCGGAAAGAAATATCTAGAAGGGGTAGACACTGCAGGACATAGCCCGTTAAAGCTTTACATAAATTTTTTTTTAACATTAACTCTTTAGGTCGCGTTCGTTCTGACTGTCTTTGCCCCACCCCCCCCCCCCCCACCCTTCCTTTCCCTTGCGGTGCGCGACAGTATGAAGAAGCGGTGCCTTTTTCAGACATACATTCTTGATCTGACCTACTGTAATAGGGAGCTGCTGTAGGATCCCAGTTGGAGCCGCCGGAGGGTCCCAGTTGGAGCCGCCGGAGGGTCCCAGTTGGAGCCGCCGTAGGGTTCCAGTTGGAGCCGCCGTAGGGTCCCAGTTGGAGCCGCAGTAGGGTGGCAGTTGGAGTCGCAGTAGGGTCGCAGTTGGATCCGCAGTAGGGTCGCAGTTGGAGCCGCTGTAGGGTCCCCGTTGGAGCCGCAGTAGGGTCCCAGTTGGAGCCGCAGTAGGGATCCAGTTGGAGCAGCCGTAGGGTCCCAGTTGGAGCCGCAGTAGGGTCCCAGTTGGAGCCGCAGTAGGGTTCCAGTTAGAGCCGCCGTAAGGTCCTAGTTGGAGCCGCCGTAGGGTCCCAGTTGAAGCCGCCATAGGGTCCCAGTTGAAGCCTCGCCTTTGGAACCGAAGGTCCTGGGTTCGAGTCCGAATGGAATCAGAATAAAAAAAAGGCCTTGATTGGGTGCCAGGTGAAGTCATGGAAGTGAATGTGACCGGCATGCTGTTGTCCACGTCACCATCTGAGCGCGGTTTGGTTTTTAAAATATAGGTCTAAAACTAATGTGCCCAATACGCCCGAAGGCGTGACGAAGGGCCCTTTTCCCGTAACTTTACTGGTGTAATAGATTTTTTGTGGTGAGTATTGACTTGTTTAAACACTTGGTGGTGAGTACTGACAACTTGTTTAAACACTTGGTGGTGAGTACTTACAACTTGTTTAGACACTTGGTGGTGAGTACTGACAACTTGTTTAGACACTTGGTGGTGAGTACTGACAACTTGTTTAAACACTTGGTGGTGAGTACTGACAACTTGTTTAAACACTTGGTGGTGAGTACTGACAACTTGTTTAGACACTTGGTGGTGAGTACTGACAACTTGTTTAAACACTTGGTGGTGAGTACTGACAACTTGTTTAAACACTTGGTGGTGAGTACTGACAACTTGTTTAAACACTTGGTGGTGAGTACTGACAACTTGTTAAAACACTTGGTGGTGAGTACTGACAACTTGTTTAAACACTTGGTGGTGAGTACTGACAACTTGTTTAAACACTTGGTGGTGAGTACTGACAACTTGTTTAAACACTTGGTGGTGAGTACTGACAACTTGTTTAAACACTTGGTGGTGAGTACTGACAACTTGTTTAAACACTTGGTGGTGAGTACTGACAACTTGTTTAAACACTTGGTGGTGAGTACTGACAACTTGTTTAGACACTTTGTGGTGAGTATTGACTTGTTTAAACACTTGGTGGTGAGTACTGACAACTTATTTAAACACTTGGTGGTGAGTACTGACAACTTGTTTAGACACTTTGTGGTGAGTATTGACAACTTGTTTAGACACTTTGTGGTGAGTATTGACAACTTGTTTAGACACTTTGTGGTGAGTATTGACAACTCGTTTAGACACTTTGTGGTGAGTAATGACAACTTGTTTAGACACTCTGTGGTGAGTAATGAAAACTTGTTTGGACACTTTGTGGTGAGTATTGACAACTTGTTTAGACATTTTGTGGTGAGTCTAGCTAGTGTGCCGGTCTCCAAACAAATCCAGCGACCCGGAAATAAATATCTAGAAGGGGTAGACACCGCAGGACATACCCCGTTAAAGTTATGTATAATTTTTTGTTTAACATTAACTCTTTAATGCGACATTCGTTCTGTCTTTGCCCCCCCCCCCCCCACCCCTTCATCCCCTTGCGTGCGGTGCGCGACAGTATGAAGAAGCGGTGCCTTTTTGACATATATTCTTGATCTGACCTACTGTAATAGGGAGCAGCCGTAGGGTCCCAGTTGCAGCCGCAGTAGGGTCGCAGTTGGAGCCGCAGTAGGGATCCAGTTGGAGCAGCCGTAGGGTTCCAGTTAGAGCTTCCGTAAGGTCCCAGTTGGAGCCGCCGTAGGGTCCCAGTTGGAGCCGCAGTAGGGTCGCAGTTGGAGCCGCAGTAGGGTCACAGTTGGAGCCGCAGTAGGGTGGCAGTTGGATCCGCAATACTGTCGCAGTTGGAGCCGCTGTAGGGTCCCAGTTGGAGCCGCAGTAGGGTCGCAGTTGGAGCTG